AAAAAAAAAAAAAAAAAAAAGATTTAGAAAATTTAACAGCACAAGTAACAATCTTGGTTAATTAGACACATATGGAATCCTGTACCCAATCATTAAAAAACATACGTCCCCCTCAAGTGTAGCTAACAAGTATCAGGCTGCAGTGCCTGCGTCCACATCTGTCCGAGAGTTGCCATCACACCAGCATGTTCTCTGACCCCAATTCAGTTAATTAAATTAGATACCAATGAAAAGATAAGCAATATTGCTACCTGTGTTTGGCAAGTTTTTGAAAAGCTAATGAATAACTCATGCATCAAAGAAAAAAATGTAACAAATTAAAGTCTACCTATAACTGCTAAAAATGCTACATATTAAAACTTGACTTATGTATTGAAAACAATAAAGCATGTGGTTTTAAATGTTAATTTTACAAAGTAAAAAAAGGCAAGAATCAGGTAGTGCCTGTGGCTCAAAGGAGTAGGGCGCTGGCCCCATATACTGGAGGTGGTAGGTTCAAACCCGGGCCTGACCAAAAACTGCAAAAAAAAAAAAAAAGGCAAAAGTTAACGATACAGTCACTCAACTAAGGATGTCAAAAAAGAGTAACAGAATCAACCTAAAGATAATTGAATGCAGGCAGGATAAACTAATGATGAGGAGAATCAATATAAAATAGGGAAGAATCAACAAAGCCAGAAGGTTTGTTTAGAAAAAAAAAAATGAAGGAAGATAAAATATGCACAGTTCCGGCAAAATTAACTGTAGATAAAAATAAAGGGTAATAAAAATAGTATTTAATAAAAAGAGGATGTAATTATAGATCCAGCAAAGTAAAGGCGCAATGGGTATATAATTTTAAGAACTTGTCATTAAATTTAAAAAAATGAAAAGGCAAATTGGATTCAAAGAAAAATAGAAAATTCTTATTAATCCTATAATAATTAAATAAATGGCTTCCTTAAAGACATTTCCTCAAAAATGAGGAAAGGATGCAAATTATTTTATATGTGATTTCTAACACTTTAGGTATTACATAATTTCACATTTCGAAGAAATGTAAATTGTTTCAGAGAATCAAAACAGCAAAAATTATCCTGAAATCAATCTGAAATTTAGAGAAAGTCAATTTTAGAAAGGAAAAATACAATTTTACCCATGAGATAGATGTAAAAATTCTACAGAAAATGTTAGCGCACCATAGTTTTGTGCTAGGAATGCAAACATATTTGAAAATTAGAAATTGTATTAATGTTGTTCATCACATTAAAAATTCAGATGAGGAAAACCATATGATTTTCTCTTCCAATACAGAAAAGCATTTGATAAAATTAAGACATTTATTAATTACAAACATAAAAACAAAGCTTCTGCTAAAAAATTTTTCAAGAAAATCTTTTTGGGGGGGGGCAAGGCTGGGTTTGAACCTACCACCTCTACCATATGGGGCCAGCACCCTACTCCTTTGAGCTACAGGCACCACCCCAGAAAATCTTATCATTAGCAGTCAGATGTTAGAATCATTCCTTTCCAAGGCAGTAAGCTGTTCACTACCACTGCTTTTCTCACAATGTCATGGGGGTCCTGGAACAGCGCCATGCAAATAAGTAATCTTAAATTTTCTACTAGCTGCATTAAAAGAAAATATATATTTGTTTTACAGAAAAATGAAAATATCTTATGTGATATAACAATTAAAGCCAACTGTAGCTCTACACTGTCCCAGTTTTTAGATTTAAATATAACATTTTTAAATAGAATTGCACATTCACTAGCTGCAGTTCAAGAGCACAATAGCCCACATACAGCCCCTGGCCACCACGTGGGACATCACAGAACTGGACAGTACAATAAGGTGAGGAAGAAAAATAAAAGCTAAAAGAAACAGCATTGGCTATAGAACCAGCACCTGTACCCCATGACTGCATTAATGTACACAGCTATGATTTAATAAAATAAATAAAAAATAAATAGCATTGGCTATAGAACCAGCACCTGTACCCCATGACTGCCTTAATGTACACAGTTATGAGGCTCAGCACCTGTGGCTCAAGTGGCTAAGGCGCCAGCCACATACACCTGAGGTGGCAGGTTCCAATCCAGCCCAGCCCGCCAAAACAACAATGACGGCTGCAACCAAAAAATAGCCAGGTGTTGTGGCAGGCGCCTGTGGTCCCAGCTACTTGGGAGGCTGAAGCAGGAGACTTGCTTGAGCCCAGGAGTTGGAGGTTGCTGTGAGCTGTGATGCCACATGGGCGGTGCCTCTGGCTCAAAGAGTAGGGTGCCGGCC